TATATATATATATATATCTGTTGGGATAAATTGTAGAATATAAAATAATCACTTACCTTAAGTATGACTTCGTTTCCAGACCAGCAATAAATGTAAATTTGTATAAACATACAGAAAGTGTACACCATGAAAGTAGCACCTTTGAATTCCATAATATGTGCTGACATATAATATACAGTTGTACATAATACCAATATACTGCTGAAGAATTGAACAAAGAGCACCTGATTGAATATAATATTTACCGTTTTGGCATATCTGTAATCAGAGGAATATTATGTTAGAGTGTCAAAAAAAGAAAGTTCTTATAATAACAGATAGTCATTTCACATATTTTATTTCGTATAAATTATACTATACTTATAGTAAAATTTTCCAAGAATATTGAAAAAGAACAAACTCTAGCATTTTTTACTCTTCGAAACAAGATTTGCATTACTTTAAATAAAATCTGATTTTCTTAAAAAACAAAGCACACATTTCAACATGGAGCAAATAATTATATCGGTTTAGAAACTTTTTTTTGAGCTTTTAACAGTTATCTTTAAACTAATGAATGCATTATAGTTACATTACACATTTTGATTATAAATAACTTTCTATTATAAATATTAATTATTATTGTTGTAAACAGTAGCTATTTATATATCAGGTGATTGCATAAGTTCGTGCCCGATTTAAATATAAACTTCAATAGATTATATTTTAGAGATAACACTTTTATTAATCAATTATATAGTCTCCATTCTTTTCTACAATGGTTTTCCAACGATCTACAAGCTTGTCGATTCCATTTTTGAAGAAAGAACTTGGTTTTTCTTGAAAAAAGTTTGTAAGGTGGTTTTCGACAACTTCCTCGGAATTGAGATTCTTGCCATTTAAACTATTCTGCAAAGACCGGAACAGATAAAAATCTGAAGGCGCAATATCTGGAGAATATGGCAGGTGCTGCAGAATTTCCCATTGCAACTCCTGCAATTTTCGCAGCGTCTGTTGAGCGACGTGTAGCCTAGCATTGTCGTGGTGGAAGATGACGCCTTTTCGATTGGCCAAAATCGGACGTTTTTCTCGAATAGCTGCAGCGAGTCTAGTTAGTTGCTCACAGTACTTGTCCGCCGTGATTGTTTCGCCGCGTCGGAGCAGCTCAAAGTAAATAATTCCCTTGCGATCCCACCAAACACACAGCAACACCTTCATCGGATGCAAGCCAGCCTTTGCTACGGGTTCTGCTCCTTCAGCTGCTGTTTTCCATGTCCTCTTTCGCTGTACGTTTTTGTAGAGAATCCACTTTTCATCGCCTGTTACCATTCGATCTAAAAAAGGCTCTTTTTTGTTACACTCGAGAAGAGAAAGAGCCACAGTCATACGGTTTAGCTTATTCCTTTCAGTCAGGAGATGCGGCACCCATGTATCAAGCTTGGAAACGTATCCAAGCTTTTTTAAATGACGAAAAGCGGTTGAATTATCGATGTTCAGCCTCTCAGCAATATCCTCAGTTGTAATCCTTGGGTTTCTTTCCACTAAGGCATGCACAATGTCATCATCAATGCCAGAAGGCCGTCCAGAGCGGGGTTGATCCTCCATGTTGAAATCACCATTTCGAAATCTGCCAAACCACTTTTTGACTGTTCGGAGAGCAGGAGCGCGGTCCAAATAAACGGTTTGAATATTTTTTTGTGCAATCCCAACACTCACGCCTTTCCGAAATTCATATAACATTACATGCCGCAAATGCACCTTTTCGTTCTCCATTTTTAATGATTTCTCTTATGCACAAATGGACTTATCTGAACAATGTCTGACGCTAAATTGACATAAGACAACGTCATCTATTCGGTGTAAGCAACAATTACCACACGAAAACAATAGAACTCCGCCATGCAGTAACTTAATGCCATCTATGAAAATCGGGCACGAACTTATGCAATCATCCAATATATCCGTGTGAATCATTTGTGATCAGATATACTAAATATGTTTTAACTATTTTATCTTATATTAAGAGAAATTACTAAAGAGAAGTGTAGACGTGTCTTTGATATCGCGCGGCTTAAAAATCTTTTTATTTAAACGCCGATATAAAAGACGATATACCTACAATATACGTGCATACATACATATATAATAATGAACGGATGAGATACACTGATTGGATATAAAAGATTTGTACTTTATTTTGCAAAAATACTTGGTAATTTTTTACAAAAAGTTGCACAGATCATCTTAATCTTGACAACATATAGGTACGTTGTAGATGGTATATTTCTGACTAATTTACGTCTGAAATTAGATGGTGCTCTTTTATAGTTTTTGTGATATTTTAAATTGAAAATATAACTATACATATATACAAAACTAAGCCGAGAATCGTAAATCGTCATTGATGATGATTGCATGGGCAAAACAAAAAGGCAAAGCTCTTGTTTTACTCGGGTTTGAAGTGCAGAAAAAAATGAAGCTCTTTTTATGTACGCCCATGCATCGACTTTAATGTGTAAACATGCAATTAATGCAAATTTGTATTGAAACAAACTTTGTATTGAATTAAACTATCACGCTTGTTTGCATAAGCGCAACATTCTTTATTAATTTTTTAATGAATAATAAAGGATAGTGTAAATCAAATTTTTTTCAAAATTCTTTAAAACATTATCATCTTCTAAATATATGCCAAAGTCATATGTCACAGTCATATGTTAAAGTCATATATCAAAGATATGTCATATTTTTTGTTGATATATATCATTTCTACCTTACCTATATACTATGTTTTCCTATATACTATAAACGTAGTTTAAAAATTATTGAATTTTAAAATCCTCTTTAACATATGTCAAGATTAAGTATTGTACAAATTTTTGTAGAGAATTACGAAATACTTTTTCAAAGAATAATATCATCATATATAGTTGTAAATTTGGTCTAAAAAGCATTTTAATTTTGTTTAATATTTTGTTCTTAGAAAAATTTTACAATTTTCTAAAATAATATGGAGAAAAAGAGCATTTCGGAAAAAGAAACATTTTTAAAATATATTGTTATTGAAGTATATTACAAACCATACAATTTCCGCTTCTGAAATATAAATAATTTTAAAATAATTTCAGTGATATTTATAATTCCTATAAATTTAGACTGTTAAAAAATACAAAAAATCGATACTTAATGATTCATTCTGACTTGATATGTGTTTGGAAATACGTCGACCTTTAATTTTTCATAATTAAATTGATTCTCTTATTTACGAATGCGCTCGAGTTTTCCCTGAATGGGAAGTAAACGCATGATGGTATTATGTTTGTTCTTTTTATTGAATCGTCCCGGATCGAATTTATATTGATTGGGATTGCATTCCGCATCATAGTGCATATCAAGCATCGATATATAAATTAATGTATTCTTGTCCAGAACGAGATTCAGATCAAACTAGATTCCGCATTTGATCGATATTCGTCATCGTGCATTCCAAGAACACGGCAATGTCAAACACATTTTCAAAAATATAACTATGTTAAAATAATTAGATTGACGACAATATGTGACATTTATGCACATTTTTTAAATACATTTTTCTTTTTTTTTTTTATTCTTACATATACATCAACACACATACAATATCCAAACAAACCGAAGCCTTAAAACGCCTAAACCTAATGTAAGACTCGCTTATAAATAAGACGAATATTTTAATTAAATAATTGATATTTATATTGATAATATTTGAATTTTGTTCGCTATAAAAATTCTTTGATAGTAGGGAATAATTTAAAATAATAATTTAAAATAATAATTTAAACTAATAATGTAAAGTATTCAGATAATTAAGTTATATGTGATCTTGTTCGTCGAGCGCGTTAAAGAATTCTTTTTTAAGCTTATTATAAATAAAATTATAATATTTTTTTTGTATATAGCCTTCGCGGCATATATAGTGTGTTCTTATCAACATCCGCTCTCGTTATTTGTGAGCGTCATCGTGTTTTTGCTAAGTAAGT